GAAGCTGACTCCCCCTGACCAAGGAGACTGATGTGGGACTGGATACCAGGTCCCTGAGATCATAACCTGAGCTGAAGGCAAACACTTAACTGAGTCACCCAGGTACCCTGGGGTGATTGTAATTGTCAAGGTTATTGTTGTAAAATAGGATTGCTATTACCCGGCAGGGGCAGGGAGAAACAGAAATGAAACCCAGGGGATCTCCCTAATATTAATTTCGGGTAGTTAATGGAAGACAAGCTCCTAGTTAGGTATTTAATTCCAATCTTACCAACTGAACAAACTAAAAAACAGAGGAAATGAAAAAAAAAATCTTAAAAGCACTGAAAAGATAATGACATAGTGAAGAATAACTGAACCAATATTTAGGAAGCTAAAACCCAAAGAGGTAAGTCCAGAATTCGAAGCAATTTTTGTCCTGGGGACATTTACTGATCTGGAAGATATAACTGTGAAACTGAGCTGTTGTTTCGTGGTTTTTGGTGGGGAGGGTTAAAAATCAAAATCCAAAGCCTGCCCAAGGTAGGAGGATGGACACCCCACCATGGACACATACACGCTTTAAGATGGGATCCTAAATTGTATGGACTTGTAGCCCAGAATCATATCTGGGTGGTTCAGGGAAGCTTAAGCCTTGAACTTGGATTAAAGTAGACCCATCCTTATACTGCTCCAGGTCACCTGGCAGAAGCAAAAATATTTGGTATTGAGTAATGAGTTTTATGAAGGAATGTACTGTCATCCTAGTCCCCAAATTATTTCTAAAAATATTTTTTTCAGATATGACATCCAACCCATGGTCAAAGATAATCAGGCACACAGAGTAAAAAGAAACCTTGCACAAGAATCAATACAAAAAATATAAAACATAAATTGACCCACACAAAGATTTAACATATCGGAATTATCTGATACTGACCATAAAATAACATTGCTTATTGTGTTTAAAGGAGTAAAAAACCAGTATAAAAACATTTGTTGGGGGGGCACCTGGGTAGCTCAGTTGGTTAAGCGTCTGCCTTCGGCTCAGGTCATGATCCCAGGGTCCTGGGATCGAGCCCCACATTGGGCTCCCTGCTCAGCGGGGAGCCTGCTTCTCCCTCTCCCTCTGCTGCTCCCACTGCTTGTGCTCTCTTGCTCTGTCAAATAAATAAATAAATAAAATCTTAATAAAAAAACAACCCACATCTGCAGGGGACAAGTACTTATTAGGAAGTGCCACAACAGGGCGCCTGGGTGGCTCAGTTGGTTAAGCAACTGCCTTCGGCTCAGGTCATGATCCTGGAGTCCCGGGATCGAGTCCCGCATCGGGCTCCCTGCTCGGCGGGGAGTCTGCTTCTCCCTCTGATCCTCCCCCTCTCATGCTCTCTGTCTCCCATTCTCTCTCTCAGATAAATAAATAAAAAATCTTTAAAAAAAAAAAAAAAGAAGTGCCACAACAGAATTTTAAAAGAACAACATAGAACTTCTCAAACTGAACAATACGATAATCAAAATTAAGAACACAATGAGTCCTTTAAGCAGATTACTCATAGCTGAAGAGAGAACATAGCAACTAGAAGCTGGATAGGCAGAAATTGTCCTTAATACTGCATAGAAAGACAAAAGAACAGAAAATACAGAAGTAGAGCAGAAACATAGATATATAGAGAGATCTAACATACATTTAAAAAAAGATGTTTTTATGAAGTCAGCTCCATGCCCAGTGTGGAGCCCAACGAGAGCTTGAACTCACGACCCTTGAGAACAAGACCTGAGCTGAGACCAAAAGTCAGATGCTTAACTGAATGAACCAGCCAGGCTCCCCCTAATATACATTTAATTGGATGTCAGAGGGTAAGGAGAGAGAAAGGAACAGAGGCAATGTTTAAAGAGAAAATGATAATTTTCCAATAATGCTAAAAGGGGTGTTTGTTTGTTTGTTTGTTAAAGATTTTATTTATTTATTTGACAGAGAGAGACACAGCGAGAGTAGGAACACAAGCAGGGGGAGTGGGAGAGGGAGAAGCAGGCCTCCTGTGGAGCAGGGAGCCCGACATGGGGCTCGATCCCAGGACCCGGGGATCATGACCTGAGCGGAAGGCATACGCTTAACGACTGAGCCACCCAGGCACCCCAAGAGGTGTTTGTTTTAAGATTTTATTCATTTGAGAAAGAAAGAGAGTGAGAGCACAAGCAGGGGGGAGGAGCAGAGAGAGAAGGCGAAGCAGACTCCCCCCTGACCAGGGAGCCCGTTGAGAGGCTCCATCCCAGGACTGTGGGACCATGACCGGAGCTGAAGGCAGATATGTAACCAACTGGAGCACCCAGGCATCCCTGAAAAATGTGAATCCATAGACTGAAGAAGCCAAATAAGACTGAATTGAGCTAAATAAAGACTTCATGGAAGTAAATGCTGGAGTATTTGGGATGAAGTGTTACAATGTCTGCAACTTATTTTCAAAAGGTCAGGATAATAATTTTTATGGGCAAAGAGATAAAGCAAATGAGGCAAATGGTAAAAAAGGGCAAATCTGGATGAAGGTATATGGATTTACATTGTACTTGTCTTTCAGTATTTCTGTAGGATTGAAATGTTTCAAAATAAAACCTTTGGGGAAAAAGTCAACTCTATACAGGGAGATCCACCGAGGACTCAGATTCTTTAAAAATAGAGGTCTGGGACGATGTGGCCCTGGTAAAAAACCCTGAACCACCAAGATGCAGGCTGAAGGCAAAGGGAAGGGGCCCCTGGCTGGCCCAGTGAGTAGAGCGTGAAACTCTTTATCTCGGGGTCATGGGTTCAATCCCCAAGCTGGGGGTAAAGATTACATTAAAAAAATAAAATCCTTGGGCGCCTGGGTGGCTCAGTTGGTTGAGCGGCTGCCTTCGGCTCAGGTCATGATCCTGGAGTCCCGGGATCGAGTCCCTCATCGGGCTCCCTGCTCGGCAGGGAGTCTGCTTCTCCCTCTGACCCTCCTCCCTCTCATGCTCTCTGTCTCTCATTCTCTCTCTCTCAAATAAATAAATAAAATCTTTAAAAAAAAATAAATAAAATCCTTAAAAAAAAAAGGAAAAGAAAATCTTTGAAGGCAAGGGGAATACGAACTGGATAGTGAAGGAGGGGAAGTTATTCATACCAGCCACATTTTGTAGAAAAAGTCTGTCGCTTTTACATATATTTCTCTTCTTGCTGTGTCAAGTATATTCTTACATATTTTACGAGACCAGTGCTCTAACCCCTGAGCTACGGAGCCTATTCTTACATATTTTAATTCTCCCATTCTTCTCTCCTTCTTTCCACTCTTGCATATAGGGTGTACTGGTGGTAATTAACTTTACAGCATAGTTCATAGTTTGCAAAACATTGAGATGGGTTGGTAAAAAAAAAAACAAAACTGCAGGAGGGAGGAATGAACATCTGAGAATCCTGGCCTTGCAAGTGGGTGTGATCATGAACAAGATTTTGAGTTGTCTCCCTTTGGAAGAAGAGTGAATACATTTTTGACAGAAAGAGGAGTAGATGCATTATACTAGGGAGGCTTATATTACCTCACGTTTATAGGAAGTAATGCATGGATGTTGGGCATCTCAAACAGTGGACAGTGGGGACACTGGGTGCCCAACAACTTCTTCTATTTTGGGGAATTCCTTTTTGTGGGTGGTGTTTGGAGGGCATGGTGCCTGAGCAGCACTATATAAGCTGAAGAGGAAAGATCCTTCTCTTCACCCATGGCTACTTTGGTGCAAGCAAGTATTCCTAGTTTAGTTAATCTGACGCTTCAGGTGCCCTGCCTAGTTCCCTTTTTCCAGCCTGACACAGTAGCCCCGAGTGGTTTTCCAGGGCCCTTGGGCGGGTGCCTGATGCAGGGTGGGTGGGGAGCAGTTCCAACGGACCCAAGACAGGCATGGCTTCTGTGACCTCAGCTCAGGTCCAGGGTGAGGTGCAGCCTTCCAGCTGGGCAAAGCTCTAAGGAAGGTTTGCTTTTTTGTCTTGTCTTCCCTTTCCAAGGCATAAGGTACAAGCCTTTCAAGCACAGAGAGGGAGCCTGCAGGCAAGGAGCTGGGCTCTTCCGCTCCTTGCCCTTGGCCTTCACACTTTACCAGGGTCTGGGGTGGAACCCGTGTTGGGGGAGAGGGTTGCAGTCGAGTATAGGCTTCAGGGTCTCACAGATCTGGGTAAAATCCCACTACTGATAGTGAAACCCCTAATCTCTAATGATGGCAAAATCTTCTGACTAAAAAGACAAAGTTTAGCGGGGATGTAACATGATGCAGCTTCTATGGAAAATAAGATGGTGGTTCCTCAAGAAATCAAATATAGAATGACATAGTATGATCCAGCAATTCCACTTGTGCATATAGACCCAGAAGAATGGAAAGCAAGGATTCAGGTATTTGTGCACTCATGTTCATAGCAGCATCGTTCACAGTAGCCCAGAGGTAGAAGCAACCGGGTGTCCACTGATGGATGTACGGATACACAAAATGTGGGATAGACAGACAATGACATATTATTCAGCCTTTAAAAGAAGGAAATTTCAACACATGGATGAACCTTGAAGACGTCAGGCTAAACGAAATAAGCCGATCACCAAAGGACAAATACTGTGTGACTCCAGTTACATCGGGTCCCAAGAGTAGTCACGTTCGTAGAGACAGGAAGTAGAGGGTGGTTGCCAGGGGCTGGGGGAAGGGAGAGTGGGGAGTTAGTGTTTCATGGGTATGGAGTTTCACTTTGGGAAGATGAAGAAAGTTCTGGAATGGATGGTGGTGATGGTTGCAGAATAACATGAATGTATTTAATGCCACTAAATCATACACTTAAACATGGTTAAAATGGTCAGTCTCATATGGTATATATTTTAACACACACACACGTAGCTCTGTGGCCAAGCAAAATGCCTCGGGGTCAAATTCAGCCCCCACTCTGAAATCTGACACGGGGAACGGAGGCAGGAGAGGCTGGGGGCGGGCTGGGAGTCTGGGATCCGCAGGGTCAGGAGGATGGAGAAGAACCAGCGGAGAATGGAAGAAGGGAACAACCGAGGCTTGAACCTGTCCCCAGCCACCCGCGTGGTCTGTACCAGTCGGACACAAGCCCCACCTTGGCACTCTCCCCTCCTCTGTCCCCACTGTCCCTGCCCCGTCCAGGCCTCCTCATCCTGCAATGGCTTCTTCCTCTCTGACCTTCAGTCCATCGTCCCTTGGCCCGGGTGGTGACCCTCCTAAAACCTGGATCTGACCACGTGTCTCTCCTGCTTAAAATCCTTCTGCAGCTCCCCATTGCCTCTGCTCAGCCTTGTAAGCAAAGCTGTTCCCAGCTGACTCCAACCTGTTTTCACAGTCCTGCCTCTCCCGAGCCCCGAGTCCTTTGTGTCCATAGCCACTTTTGAGTACCTTCCATGTGGCAGTTCATAAACCTTGTCCCTATTTTTTCCCACAACCCTGCAAGGTAGGTAGTCGACCCATTTTAGAGATGGAGAAACTGAATCTCACACAGACTATGTCAGACCCAGAGATCTATGCTCTTTTCACCACTTGGCGGCTCCTCTGTCATTCACTCCCGTGCCTCAGTGTCTTTGCTTACGCACAAGCATATCTTAGCCTTCAGGTTTGGCTCAGAATCACATCTGACCATCTTAATGGGCCCTGACACCAGCCGCACCTCTGCCCCAGGCATTCTCGATCTTATTTTCTTCATAGTTGTTCAACATGGTAGGAAATCCTCTTACTTGCTTACAAATCCAATATCCTTTTCCCACTAGAATCTAAGCTACAGGAGAGCAGGGATTGCGTCTGTCTGATATCCCCAGCACCTGGAATGCGCTTGAGTGCCCTGTAGATGCTCATTAAGTAGTGCTGATGAGCACAGTCGGACACCTCCCGGCCCCAGGCCCGGCCCTCCCTCCTGCGTGCTCCCTTAGTCCTCTGAAGCTGGAGAAGCTGCTGGTCCCTTGCACTAGGGGTTATTCTTTCATTCTTGGGTCTCCCCCAATAGACCCCCGCAGGCTGGGCACGGCGCCTGGCTTACACCAGTGCTCAGCCACCTCCTGTAAACACCAGTATCTCCAGTTGGCATTTGGTTGGTTCCTACTCCCAGACAGAAGCTTTCAAAGGGCACGAAACCTTCTGGGAGAGGGGTCCCCCCGCCCCCAGGTCAGCCCAGTTTGCAGAGACCGGCCTGTCTTCCGGAGGGAACCTAGGTCAAGGGTGCGGGGAGCACAACCACCAGCAGCAGCAAGTTTTATTGCGACCAGAACCTCCTGGTCATGTGAGGGGGATGGGGCCGAGGGACATTCGGTCATCAATGCCATGTTCTCAGTCCAGGACACAGAGCCAAAGGTCTACCTGGCTGTGCTGTGCCTCCCCCCCGCCCCGCCCCCAATCAGGGCATCCCACGGGGATGAGGCAGAAGGCAGGTGGAAACAGGAGTCCATCTTGGCAAAGCCTTCATCCAAGGGATGTGAGGGAAGGAGGAGCAGTTGGTGGTGGGGGTCCAGGTGGCCCAAGATGCTCAGGGCACTTTGGGCTGACTTCTGCAGGTGTCCTTAGTGCGTTTTAGGGGAAAGCAATGAGGCACACTCTGCCCCTAGGGAGGGGCTGGGAAGGAGGGAAACAAAGGCTCGAAGAAAGAAATCACTGGCCAGCGACCACACAGTGGGACCTCGGGAATCCTGACTTCTAGGCCAGGGCTGCATCGCCCCTCTGCCTCCCAGCAATCGCTTGATCCTGAGCACCCGGCCTGGCCAGCCTTGCTCCTACGTGGGGATCTGCATGTGGCCCAGGTCCTGGTCCATGATCTGGAGGACGTCGTCCAGGATGGAAGGCCCCAGGTCCACGTGCAGGGAGAGCAGGGAGCTGGCATGGGACAGGAAGGGCTCCTCAGCCCCTGACTCGGGGGTCAGCCCGTTGTGGGCAGAGCCAGCCTCTGGAATTCTCCAGATGTCCACACTCCCTGCCTCCTTCGGGGAAGGCTGTGGGGTCTCCAGGTGCAGGCGAGGGGGTTTGGGTGGGGCCTGGGCTGTGGGCAGGGTGAGGGCCTGGGGCCCACCGATGACAGGGAGGGAGATGGCATTCTTGAGCAGAGGGGACGGCCCTTCGGGGAGCTCCCGCCCGCACAGAGTGGCGGTGCGTGTGAACTGGAAGGGCAGGTTGAAGGCGCCATCCTCCTCAGGTCCCTCGACCACCGTCCCTGGCAGGAGGTGAAACTTGCCCTGCAGGAAGGAGATGTCACCGAACATGTCGCTGCCCCCACCGCTGCCGATATGGATGGTGTGTCGGAAGTCCCCCAGCGGCGGGCTGATCATGTCCGACGACAGCAGGTCCCGCAGCTTCTCCTTCTTGCCCTTGCGGCTGCCGCGCTTCAGGTAGATGGGCACCTTGGTGGACATTGTGACCTCAGCGCCCAGGCCTGGCTGCCGGCGCTCGGGACGGTGCACCTGCAGGGACCGCGGCCTCCTGCTACCTCCTCTCACCGCCCTGGCCAGAGACACCAAAACCTCGCCGAAGGGCGAAGACTGCCGTGTGGGGTGTGACCGACGTTGGCCCAAGGGACGAGAAAAAGAAAGAGTAATGATCAATGAAGTCAGAGGGCTGAGACAACGAAAATCGTTTTCTCCCGAAAGAGTTGAAAATGCTCTGGAAAATTAGCAGCCGCAAGGTGGAGGTCTTGCAGGGAGCAACGCTCTCTGGTCTTGTCCTCGCGAGTGTCTCCCGGGGGCTGAGGAGCTGCAACACCAAAGGTATAAGTGAGGGACAGAAGGACACAAGGCAGAGGCATCCGCGCCATTTTGGGGGGCCCTGCGTCGGCCCCGGGAGCCCAGGTGGGGCCACTCTCCCATGGAAACCATGTTGGAAGAAGGGCCTGTTCGCTTACAGACTCACTGCCCCTTGGGGCCTGGATAACTAGCGCCGAGCCCCCCTCCTGACCAGTGGGGAAGCTGAGGCCCGCGAACCTGGGTGACGGGCCTGGAGTCATATCCCAAGTCCTGGCTCTGGTCTCCTGCCCTGGGTCTCCGGCTTTGCTCTTCGCTGTTGTCTGGGTGCTCAGCCCCTAGTGCACATCAACTGTGCCCCAAGACGTAACAAGTGTCAAGATTGTTGGGGGGGCGGTCTCACAGACTTGTCTCAATCCCCTAGTTGACCAAGGAGAGAGATCCCATAACCTCTGTCTCGCCCACCTGTCTGTGCCAGGCCTGGACACGCGGCAGGTGTTCAGCCAACAGGGCCGAATGTAGACACCTTCTGATCGGCCCAATCTCGTCCCACCTGGAAGTGGGGTCACGTCGGAGTTCCCCCTTTTTCCTCCGGGTTAGCAGTTCCTAGCTCCCGGACCGAGTCTGACATAGTTACTGTCCCTCCACCCCACCCAGCACCTGAGGGTTAGATGGAGTGGAGGGTACAAATATTTTGGGGGGCTCTGCTCTGTGCCTGGCATTTTGCTGAGTTCCTTGCAAACACATCTCATTTCATCATTGCAACCACCCTCCTCTCATCCTCATTTAAACATTGCAGTCAGAACACATTTTGGAGGGATTTGCACAAGGCATTGCCGAGGGAGAGAAGCAAAATGCAAAAGCGTAGTCTGGAAGATTCCATTTCTGGGGCACCTGGGTGGCTCAGTCGGTTAAGCGTCTGACTCTTGGTTTGGCTCAGGTCACTATCTCAGGGTCGTGAGATCGAGCTCTGCGTTGAGCTCCACGCTCAGCGGTGAGTCTGTTTGAGATTCTCTCCCTCTACCTCTGCCCCACTCGAGAGCTCTCTCTCTCTCAAATAAATAAAATCTTAAAAAAAAAATTCCAGGGCGCCTGGGTGGCTCAGTTGGTTGAGCGACTGCCTTCGGCTCAGGTCATGATCCTGGAGTCCCTGGATCGAGTCCCGCATCGGGCTCCCTGCTCGGCAGGGAGTCTGCTTCTCCCTCTGCCCCTCCCCCTCTCATGTGCTCTCTCTCATTCTCTCTCTCTGAAATAAATAAATAAAATCTTTAAAAAAAAAAAATTCCATTTCTGACAGCAGTGACCAACTCCCCTCCCCTCTGCCCCTTCCCCATATATGCATGCATGTATGTGTACCTACAGACACAGGTCCGCATAGATATAATCTTACATAAAAAGAGAGAAGAATCTGGAAGGCCAGCACTGGGTTGTCATATGGGCTATGTAGACTGGGGTGGGGGTCAGGGAAGGGGTGTGGGGTGGGGGTCAGGGAAGGGGTGTGGGGTCAGTGACATGGAAAGGTGTCCTCGAAAAAAATTACCTATAATATTTGGTACTGTTACTATAAAATGATACATGTAACTGTGAAAAGGATGGTTGCCAAAATGTTGGTGATGGTTCTCTCAAGATAGCAGATTTCAGATGACTTTGCCTTTCTTCTTCATACTTTTATAAGCTCAAAATCTTAATAATAAGCATGTGTTACTTAGGTGCACATATTATTTATGTAATCAGAAAAAATAAAGCTATTTTTAATGTGGAAAAAATAAATGCACTCTGGCGGGGTGTCATACTGGTTTAACAGAAAAAGGAAGCGATGCAGGCCCTCCTTGGCGTTCCCACGGTGGGGGACTAGCCTCAAACGGGGCTACGAGAGAGCCCAGATGTAGAATCTGAGCACAAAAGGCAAAGAAAAGAAATGTGTCCAAGGTCATCCAGAGGGTAACCAGATGAGCACCCCTCCCCCACTGCCCCCTCCCCGGGGCCGCCAGGGGCTGAGCAGGTAGGAAATTGGCCAGGAGGGGCGGAGCCAGCCACAGCTGGGAGCCCTGGCGGGTCCTAGGCCCCATTCTCCATCCTGGGCAGGGTGAGGAGAGAATGAGGGGCTGGCAGGAGGGAGCAGGAAGAAGGAAGGGGGATGCAGGAGAGGCAGAGTCCCAACTCCCAGCCCAGGCCCTCACTCAGGAAACCCCACCCAGGACCGGACACCCCAGGTCAGTCACACATAGCCACAGAGACCGGACATCTTGCCCCTCCCTGAGCACCTGCAGTTTAACAGGAAACAAAGGAATGACTCTCCAGTGGCGGGATTCCAGCTAAGCCTGGAAGGAGCTGTGCGCAGGGTGGGGGAGGCAGTGGACACTGCGAGGTCCTGGGATCCCATCCCTCACTCACAGAACAGACCTTTACCTGTGACCACCATGCCAGACCTGGGGGCATGCCAACACACATCCTACCTGTCTCCTTGGTAGGCAAGCAGTCCTGGGGCAGCTTTTCCTTCCTTTCCACTCATGAAGAGTGGGTCATACTGGTGGGATTTGTCATCCCCCGCCCCATCACACAGGGCGCCAAGACAGCCTGAGTGTTTCCACAACAAACTGGGCGTCCCTGACAGCTGTCTCACTCTGAGCCAGATGTACCCACCCAGTTCCAGATGTGGGGAGAACTGGGGCTGGGGGGAAGGGTTGGGCCAGCATCAGCCACCCAGGGGAGAGCTGGGAATTGCACTCATCAAGCCCCAAGCATTCAGATTTGGCAAGCATGAGACCCCAGGCTCCAGCTGCCCTTGCACGGTTCCCATTTTAAAGCTCCCAGGCAGAGCACGGTGGGCGTCACCACCGCCTTTTACAGAGGCAAAAGCTGAACCTCAGAGACCTTAATGTTGCTGAGGTCGCCCGCTGGGAAGAGGAAAAGTGGGCCCCAGTACCCAGCCAGGTTCCTGTGGCTCTGATGCAGTGGGCCATCCAACCTCTGAAAACTGGGGAGCGGGAAGAAACAGGCTCCCAGCTAGGCTGGGGCCACTCGGTCCCCAGGCCTCCTCCATTTAAGTCCAGTTGGCTGCCCCTCTCCCCCAACTTGCAAGGATCCAGAGATATGAGAATGAGCTCTCCATCAGGACAAGGCTATGGGGGGCCTGAGGGTGGCTTCCCCCAGAAGTGGGAGGAGCAGATGGGAGCTTGCCCTGGGCAGGAGCCCTGGGCCTCCTTCAGAGAGAAATACTTCCGGGAGGCACAGCCCCTTCTGTCGCTAGGAGTACTAGGCCACTCCCCACCAACGGTGTTCAAAGAGCCACCCCCTGACCTTGAAATCAGGAGCCGTACCTTGAATCCATCTCCATCTGGGACTCACTGTGACCTTGGGCAAGACACCTCTCCTTTCTGGCCCTTACCTTCCCCATCCATAAAATGGGCTGACAAAGCCGTCACCAGAGGGCTACTGGAAGACCCTACTGCCACAGCGCAAATGAGAGATGTACGACAGACAGGGTTAGGGGGTCCCTGTCAGCCCTGTCATTCACTTAGTGGCCACTACAGCAAATAGCTGTAGGGGCTTCCTCAAGCATTTTGGTTATCGGGGACACTGCTCCGAACAAGACCAAAAACGAAAGCCTCCATCCTCCAACCGACCGCCCTCTCCCGCCTGCCCTGGAGGCAGCCTGCGCAGAGTCCCGCTCGCCGGCGGCGGGGAGTCTCCCGGGGTCCCTGTGCGGAGCGGCGCACGGCTCGATGACCGCTAGGTGGCGCGCGCGCGCTCTGTCGCCCCGCATCTCGGAGGAGTCCCGGCGCGCATCGGAGTGTGGAGCGCGCTTCGGACTCCGTCCAGGCAGGGGCCCCCCAAGGAGTGGCACGTTCGCGTATCAGATGCGGATCGTCTTAGGGATCTTCTTCTCTTGGGGTGCTCTGGCCTCACAACCAGACAGTAGGGGGGAAAAGGGACGATCGGGGATCTTGCCAGGGTCTCCAAGCTTTGGGAGGATCCTCCCCCGTGCTTTCCGGCCTGGGCGATGTCCGAGTGTCCGCTGGGCGCAGGGCCAGAGCTCGGACGAGCAGGCCCCCACCCCTGGCTCCCGCGGGTCCGGTTCCTCAGCCCCAGCTCGGGTTCCGGCGCCGACCCCTCCCCGCCCTCTGTCGGAGCGCCCAGGCTGGATCCGTTTCAGGACACTCGAGGCCGCGGCTAAAGATAGGAGGACACCTCACCATCGACTAAAAATACGACCCCCAGCTCGGGCGGGGACGCTGGGCGGCGGGAGGGCGCTCCCGCGTCCCGGGTGTGGGGCGGAGGCGAGGGCTCAGGGTGAAGGGCGGGACCACAAGTTCGGGTTCGGGATGCGGGGCGCCTCGCAGGCGGAGGGGGCGCGGGCGTGGCCGCCTGGATCGAGGCGCGGGCGGGAAACACCATGGAGCCCGAAGCTCCCGGGAAAGGAAATGCGCGGGGGTGACACAGGGGCCGGGGCGCAAGCCGGGCCGGGGCGCCACGGGGATGACCCTCTCAGGGGGCCCCCGGGAGTCGCGGACTCGCTGCAGAGTCCCGGCCCGAACTCACCTTGAGGCGCGCAGGCGGCGGACCCGCGGATTGCGAAAGCTCGGGAGCTGGACCGCGCGGCTCTGGGACGCGATCCCGGCTCTGAACTCACAGTGAGGTCCGTGGCCCCTGAGGCCCCGCCCCTGGCCCGGGGAGCCAATGCCCGGGCAGCCCCCAACCAGGCCCCGCCCACACCCCCGCCCCACCCGGGGCCTCGCCTGTGCTCCCCCTTCCGTGGCGCGGCGCCCAGGTCCAGCAGCCGCGCGGGCGCGGGGTCCAGTGTAGGCTCGGGCGGCTGCGGGCCGGGCGGTTTCGGGTGCCCGGGCTGGACTCTGCGGACTGCGGCTGTGCCTGTCGGAACCAGATTCTTCTCGGTGTTCGAAGGGCCAAGGGGGCGGCAGCCGGAAGACCGAATTGTAGTTCTTCAGAATTCACCGAGCGTCCTTGGACCCGTTCCCTCCCTGGAGGGCTGGGTCTGGGGAGGCGCCCGCACGAGTGTATTCAGTGGCCACTAAGGGAATGAATGAGGCCTTGGAGGCACCCGAGTTAAAATATTAACAAACTTGCAAGAGCTTTAAGGAGTTTACCGCCCCCTAGCAAGGAGGGCACGGAGGGTGTGCAGGGAGAGTGGCCTGGACACGCCCGTTTGCCATCAGTTTAGGTGGCTTCCGGGGCGGGGGTGGAACCCATACTTAGACTCCTTCTAACTTTGTTTCATTCATTCATTCATTCATTCATTCATTCATTCATTCATTCATTCGGTACTAGAAACATTTATTGAAGGGCAGGCCCTGCACAGGGCACGGGACATAGGCAGAAGGAACCTGCCCTCCATTCAGTGATTCAACAGAGACTGAAGCATCTAGCAGCACCTGCTGCTATTCTTGTCGCTGGGAATTCAGCGCTCTAGGAAAGCCAGAAAACTGAAGCTCAGGGCCCTGATGGTGATCTGCTCTGCCTCAAAGGGCAAGACCTGTGGTCTTTGGGCCTTCCTCCTGCGTCAGGCTTCTCACCCAGCCACTAGCCCCCTTGCCCTGCACTTCCTCCCACAGCACAGCCCTGAGGGGACCCCTGCTCTGTGCCAAGCCTTCAGCACTGCCTCTGAGCCATGGACCCAGGTGCCGTGCTGGCTCCGCTCCCCACTTGCTCTGTGGCCACAGGCAAAGGACAGTCCCTTTCTGAGCCTCTTTGCCTGTAAAAGGAGAGTTACATGAGTCCCAAACAAGATAAGAAACTTGTGTGTGCTTTGTGGATGGGAACACAGCCCACACAGGGGCCACTTTCATGCAAACATTGGAACAGTCGATTTGAGGGACAGCAGGCTGGCCTCACCACCTGACCTGGAATGACTCCACAGATGAGACCTCCTGAG